TTTGCGCCATGATGTGAACACTGGAATCGACGGCGTCTCTGATTAATAGCATGATCATTATTGTATCTAAGTTTTTATTCATAAGCAAGGAATGTTAAATGTCATGGCGAAACATAGGCGTTACGAAGCGAAAATAATATACTGGTACTCAGCTGGAATTAGATGTTTTGAGTCAATTGACTAACTCTTAATCTAAAATGTTGGTTAACATAAAATAAAATAAAACTTTGGCCAATTTATAATTTAGTTTATAGTACGCAATAGCTGTTATAAAACAAAAATTCGCTTGTGAAAAGATGCAAAATTCACACAAGAAATCAAGAAAACAAAGTAGAAAAAGGCCCGGCATGGCCAGATGCTTAAGGCACTCGACTCGCAATCTGAGGGTCGCGGGTTCGAATCCCCGTCACACCAAACATGCTCGCCTTTTCAGCCGTGGGGGCGTTATAATGTTACGGTCAATCCCACTATTCGTTGGTCAAAGAGTAGCCCAAGAGTTGGCGATGGGTGGTGCTGACTAGCTGCCTTCCTTCTAGTCATACACTGCTAAATTAGGGACGGCTAGCGCAGATAGCCCTCGTGTAGCTTTGCGCGAAATTCAAAACAAACAAACAAAGTAGAAAAACAAAAACATTACTTGGAGCTACTACTACTTTGTTTCAAGTTGTATAATAAGGGTTAAACACACCGAAAATGTAGGGCACATAATATTCTTTTTAACGTTCAAATTACCGATTTTTTTATACAGTTCACTGCAGGCGGGATCGAGACATTTCATAATACTGAGTAATTTTATGTTTTTTGGCATTATAACACTCAGTGTAAAGAATTGAGCAAAACGAAATGGGTGTAATAATTATTTTCTACGTACAATACATAGAGAACTTAACATTAATTAGCGAAATATTGGTTGTATTTTTGTTTGTTTTTTGATATATTTTACTAGGAACCTGCCCCCCCAGTGGCACAGCGGTATGTCTGCGGACTTATAACGCTAGAATCCGGGTTTCGATACCCGTGGTGGGCAGAGCACAGATAGCCCATTGTGTAGCTTTGTGCTTAATTACAAACAAATACAAATACTAGGAACCTTGTGACCAAAATAATCACGAATCCACAAGCAATTTGGTGGTTTGTTTGGAATTTCGCGAAAAGCTACACAAGGATTATCTACTCTAGCCGTCCTTAATTTAACAGTGACAGGAGCTTATCAACACCAACCACCGCCAACTCTTGGACTACGCTTTTAGCGACGGAAAGTGGGATTGCCCGTAACATTATAAAACCTCCACGGCTGAAAGGGCGAGTGTGTTCGGTGTGACGAGGGTTCGAACCCGCGACCCTCAGAATGCGAGTCGGGCGCCATAACCACCAGATTTTAGAAAAATGTTTAAAATGGAAATCCATATAGATCCTATCGGCAATTCTTGAGATCATCTAGATTTTTTACACAATTTATATCAATTCTCCATCTTTAATTTACTGATTTTCAAAAAAAAAAATAATTATAATAATTTAACACTTCACAAAACAGCATATAATAACCTACTTTCAGCTTAGAGAACCCGATTTTAAATGTGCATATTTTCAAAATAGTATTTTTATAGTATGTTTTCAAATATTATCACTATTATTTAATATCTTTTTTACTTCGCCATTCTCGTATCACATAATTAGTAATAAAATGATTAAATGCACACAAATTTAATTTCGCACGTAACCTTTGATCTGATTTTTAAAATAAATAATAGTACATTTGTGAAATTCTACAACGTAGCTGCTGGACGCTTCCAGGACCTCGTTTTAACATGTAGTAACTGAAGAAAAATCCTGTTTTATGCACAACATGGTAACTAGTTGACGTTTTGATCCACTTATGTGTATCTTTATCAGGTATGAATTGATGAAGATGTACAGCGTTGTGGCTCATAATGTCATCTTGTATAATTTATTACCATAATTTAATAAACAGGCTGTCTATAAGTAACTGAATTTTATGACTGGAAATGCTCCAAAATTACAGTGTTTTCCACAGCATTTTTAAGCATATTGCTAGTATTTTTCAGTCTTGTCCATCTGGTCATACTGTTTGACAGTCATTTTCACATGTTTATATGCGTAAGCAAAATTCAAAAGAGCTAATATTCGTTCATTCCTTCAAGTATAACCCCATATTTTTATTCACACAATCACGGTGAAATTCCAAATTATCATTATTCTGTTTCTTTTTTTCCAAATTAGGCCTAACCAATATTGAATTTACGCATAGATTAAAATAGTGTTAAAAGCTATATCTTTTGTGTTGTAATTTAGATGTTAGCTAGAGGGCACGTGACGTTAAAATCATAATTCAGGAATAATAATGAACAAGAGGCTTTAGGAAATATGTAGAACAAGGGTAGATTATAAATCCGTGTGAGCCAGAAAACAAGCTAAGAAAACTTACAGTTAAACATCAAGTACTTAGCGGACTGTTTTCCAGCCGGTAGAGTGAAACAGTCTGCGTGTTTACGTTTTTAAATCTGTGTTAGCTACCATGCATATTGAGTTATCTTGTACAAGTTGCTTTTTTTTACGTTAGTATAGTGCTGATAGCGGGACTGAAAACGTAGGCCTTCAACAAGTTACAGAGTGTACAAGCTTGTAAAGAAACATTAATAAATAAATAAAACTCATATTTTATTGCTACGTGGACTGGACGTTGAATTATTGTCACCATATAATTTAAAAGAACCCGCCAACAAAAAAACAACATTATAATAACAGAAATGTACAGGCAGTTTCAACATTTCTAACGCAATAACTTTCCAAACTGCATAAATTTTTCTGAGTACGGACTCCGTTATAAAACCTTCTATTCAAAACTAGTAAATCTATCTATCAAAATACCTTTAGTATTATTGATATAGCTTAAACGGTTTGTAAAAGAATACTTATAATAACACTAGTTATGAAGGATTTAGCAATTGTTAACTAATTTCAAAAAACAAAACTTTAGAAATTTGAAAAGTGCTCCCCCCCCCCCGGCACAGCGGTAAGTTTGCGGATTTATAACACTAGAAACCAGGTTTCAATACCCGTGGTAGGCAGAGCACAGATAGCCCTTTATGTAGCTTTGCACTTAACCACAAACTACGATTGGGGGTCATTGAATAACTTCATTTGTGATCAATAATGAATCTTATGATATGGGATTTTTCACAGTTTAATGTTCACATGATTTCAAATATTTTATAAACTCAGCTTTAAAAAAACGACCACATTTACTACCATTATTAATAATAATCTAAGGAAAATAAGAGCTTGTATTCGATGTTGTTGTTTTTCTTTTTTTTTCTGAAATATCGTGGTCCTGAAAAGAATGGGTTAAAAGAAAACGCTGGCTTTACGCATGCTCCGTAATCGTCTTAATGATAAAACCTCTACAGAAATAATGGTGTGGTCACTCATGCAGAAATTAGTGAGACCAAAAAACCAAATCTAGCTGCAAATTTAACCTTAAGGCTTTTTATTTTCAATATGAAGATGCAAAAAGGTGTGTCTATATAAATAAAACCTACGTTATCAGTTGTATAATTTGAGCACTGGCTAAAAGTCTGGTCTATAAATTTGTAATTGGTACATTCTCAAGCGTGCGCAAGGGAGCATTTTGGTGCTACAACATAGAAACAAACATAAATAAAAAAAGTGTGTTTGTTTATCTTTGTATGTAATGGTAACTCGTTTACACAGATAAAGTTTCACATTTTTCACTGACATAAATATATTTGGTTCTAGTGCCTTTTAATTGATAATTGTGATATTTCGGGCACACACATCTGTTTGATATCTGGATTATAAGAAGGTTAACAAACAAACCGTTCTTGAGTACTGCATGCTAAACTAAGCGGACTTACCAAACTCTTTTTATGGGAGAGTTGGATGCTACTATCAGCCGAAAGGCCTAGTCGGCACTAGGTATGACACATGTAATGTGGTTGACATATTCTTCTTTGGGTTCACTCATAAGTTCTTAGAATTTCTCAAACCTTTTGAGTTTGGAGGAACCTTTATCACTGATACACCTCTCTTAATAATCATCACTCCAAAACACTGCCTTTTGCTAAGGTTTTGGTGTAAGTATTCAAGTAGAAAACATCTACAATGAACATAAGTAGTGATCTTCAGTTTAATAATTGGTGTTATTTAGCAGGCTCAAACGATGAAGAGCTTTTTAAACGACGGTTTTAATTATATGACAGTCAGTGTTCTTACAAACAAGCCAGTATTACTACAGAAAGATTAATTAACGAAAACTTAGCCTATACAAATGTTTTTATCATTAGTGACAGTAGTGTTAGCGGTAGGAAGCCAAAGGTAACGTGAAAGTATGGTTAATTAAACCTCTAACTATAGTGAGTAATTGTGAAGCTTTGGGGCTTAAACAATAAAATAAACAAGTAATAGGTATAAAGTTATAACTTATTTATATTCCTGTAGTCAGATAACTTTGGTTAAAATTTAACTATTTATCTACAGTTGAACTTTGAAAATGAAAACAATGACCTAACTTTTAATTCGACTTTATCATGTTAAAAATATTTTTTTATATATTGTTTGTTTGAAGTTAAGCACAAAGCTACACAATGGGCTATCTGTGCTCTACCCACGACGGGTATCGCAACCCGGATTCTAGCGTTGTAAGTAATTTTTCTTTTATAAATTAAAAGTTAAAATTACTAGGAAAAACAACAACATGGCAGTGACATCTACTTTTTTGATGACAAAAAGTACCACTTAATTATAACTTAGCACATTAAACAAAGTTGAATAATATAATTATTCTAAATGAAAAACATCAAAGTTTGCAAGGTTTCATTGTAACATATACTATAACTTGTCCAATATATATCAATTATAGCATCTATCGGCAAAACATACCTCAATTTTTATGGTCTGCTTATAGTGAGTTTGGAGGTGTATGCAAGTTATATATGTCAATTCAATAAATAAAAACTTACTTTTTTATTCTTGACTGTCAAAAGAGCTCCTTTTCCAATTATGACATTTTCTCCTTCAAACACTATTCCTGATGGATGAGGTAAATCGGCGCTTAACCCTTGATCCTCAAACTCAAAGTCTTCATCTTCAAAATCATTTACATCACTTCCATCTGTCACCATACCATTTACAATGCCGTTTTTACTCTCTTTACCGTCCACACGAACTTTCTTGGCAACTTTTATTGGTTTACAACCAAAAGGAGCTGGCGTTAGAGCGACATTAGTTTTTACACTCTTTCCTCGAAAGTCGAACACAACAGATGATGTTGATGCAGGTGGTTTTTGCCATGGTTTTTTGTTTCCTAATAAAGCATTGGGCTTGGGAACATCTCCTGCTTCGATATCGGTAACAGGTGTTTGTTTCTGTTTTGCAACAATAGACGTGTTTGAGTACTCTGAGCCAACACTTTCATTGATAAGCTTACCTTCTAACTCCCCCGGAACCATCTTCCTTTTGTCGATTTTTGTACTAATGACATGTGAAATAGGCAGATTTTCTTTGGAACTATGAACTGAAGCGCTCTGGTTTGACTTTGGAATGGGTTTGATGTTAGCTACTGGTTTTTCGTTTAGCTTTTGTTGTAGAGGAGGATTGACAGTAGAGGAAACTTCAGACGTAAAAGTCCCACTGGGGACAAATCTGACTTCAGGATCACTTCCTTTCTCAACATTGTTTTCTTTATAATTCTGTTGGCTTTCAAACGTCATGTTTACATTTTCTGAGCCAAATATATTTAAAGCGTGTTCTGTACCATTTTCTTCGCGATTATTATGCAATTCTGTATAATGAGTCTGTTGCTGAGTTACTTCCGTTTTTTGACAAATGTCATCAACTTGCACCTGGGATTGATTCCCATTAGTAAGTAATCCTTTGGCACTGTTTTTGGCATGTTTAATATTACAGCTTGATTCTACTCCATCCTGCTGACTCAAAACGCTTTCTCCACTATCCTGTTGCTTACTAATTTGTTGAGCAATCTCTGTTTCCTGGGTACCAGAATTGGCAATAGTGTTAGTGAATTTACTACCTGAAAATGTTGCAATGGCCCTCACAACAGGTGGTTTTCTTCTGACGTTACTTTGGGGTGTAGATTTTTTATCTAATGGTTCGAATAAACGTTTGTAATTGCGCACAGTATCTGGTTTAGGAAGCTCATCATCAGTGATGCTCATGGTTGACGTTTGGCGGTTAACATCTCTACGTTTAAATACTTTTCCCCAACTTGGAAGATTGTTGTTAGAGCCTTCTGTATTTACATTATTTTCGATTATCACAACATCTTCGTTGATGAGCATGGATTGAGGACAGTTAGGTCTGGGACGTTTGATTGCTTTTTGGTTTGTTATCCTGAGGACAGGCTGAGAAGTAACAGAAAACACATTGTGCTTACGGGTCTTTTCTGATTCAAATAACAATGTTTCCATGCTTTTAACTTTTTTCATATTACTGAAAAACATAGGTAAATTACCATTCGCTCTGCTTCCTGCGTCCAACGGCCGTTCTAAAGTCGACAATCCAGTGACCTGAAACATACTAGTGTCCTTATCGAGCAGGTTTTCCATGCTAGAATAGCGTCTCAAAGCTCCATTAGCTCTCCCAGGTTTCTCCCTCAAAGAAATACTAATAAACCTAGATTTCAGTTTGTCCACAATTCCAGGACCATATTCTAGTTCCTGTTCACTCTCATCAGAGGATGAAGGCTGATTATGACTAAGATCGCTAAAGGTGGATGACGATGTAGGACTATTGATTTTTGAGCGTTCAAACGTGGAACCATTTACATCACCATGTTCACTAACAATTGTCGTATAATCTTCACCCATTTTGTCTGAAGCTGGCCTTCTAGCTACTAACGGCGTGCGAAAATCACTGGTTAAAGTATGACCATGCCCAACAACTAAGTTATGGTGCATAGAACTTGACACAGGACTTCTCCCTGAGGAAAACAACCCTGAACTGCTAGCGCTAACCGGTACGTCAAATACCCCTACAACTTTCGCTGGGACGCTTTCCTCTGTTCCTGGCACAGTGCCCCCTCCCGCTCTATGGAATGTGAGCACGCGTGACGTAGCCAATACGTTAGAACATGTATTTAAACTACCCGGGGTGTTCACACTGCTAGTCTCGGTTTTAGAGGGGTGAATAACCTGGGTGGCAGCTTTTGTCCCCTCACACTTTGACTCCTGCGTGGACTGTTTCAATGGTTCGCTACTCGAGGCTGCACGATTTCTGTCTACCAGTTTCACGAGAGATGAGCTAGCACGGCCCGAAGTCCCTTTCTTCATTATCAACTCTTTCAGCCATTCGGGTTTGTCACTATCTTCAGCAATGTTGCGTTCAATTTCAGTAGCATACATGGTTAGTGACCGAGACCTTCCCTAAAACTCGCCTCGTAGTTTTGCGTAACAGTTTGTCTTCTTCCTTCCTTCTCAATCTAGCCTGGGAAAGAAACAAGACTGTTAGTTAATAACACTGTTTTAAAATTATTTCTTTTATAATAAGCTTATGAGGTACTTGTCAGGTAATTATAATCCACCATGGCTGGTCGTCTTATGAAACTGTGGCCCAGGTAAGTGAGTTTTGGGCTTCGTTCTCTTTCTTTCCTACCAGGAAAATATTTTCCAATTAACAAATTATGTGTGAAAGTAATCTGATATTTTTTTGTTGAAAAAACAAAACCCATCTATTTATTTTTAACACTGTAATTGAAAAGTATGTTTTTGTTTTGTTTTGTTTATTCCAGGAAAATGCATAAAATAACAATATCATTTTACTTACTGGTTTCATTGAATGTCAATCTATCTTAGTTTTAAAATCTTTCAATGATGAAATAATATACTTTCACACAATTGTGTTACTGGTTTTTTTTATTACGTTCAAAATTATATTTAGTTAACTTAAACTTAAAGGTTTAAAAACA